TCAGCACAAAGTAAAACGTATTTATAAATTTATTTATATTATAATACATTTGGGGGCGGGGGCGCTCGTGCATAATGAAAAATCTAGTATTTCATTCTTTATTGTGAACATGCCTAAAGTTTGAAAATTTCGTTTAGCATACTAACTTATAGGTGATTAAAAATCTGGCCAGAGGGAAAAAACAAAACAAATGGGGCTATGTAACTTTGGTTGGGGGATGTTGTTTAAAGACTCTTTAGAAATCAAACATAAAAAGAAAGAAAGCGCTGTATAATTCAGTATTAGTCAACTATAACTGTCTGGGCAGGACATGTTGAAAGGATGCCGGAATGTAGAGTGGCAAAAGTTATATACAAGCATAAGCCTAAGGGCAGACGATTCACCGGTTGCCCAAGGCTGAGATTGAGATGGATCGATGATGTGGAGATGGATATACACGAGTTGGGGGTTCGCGCATGAAGGCGGAAAGCCAAGAATCGCTCCGAATGGAAAGATGTGGTGGAGCAGGCCAGGGCCCTACATCAACTACATGGACATGGGGGCTGAAGCCCAGTGAAGCGCCACTGATTATGATTTAATTAATAAAGAATCCACTAAAATTTACATGAGAAAATGCGAAATGTGTTAAGAAATAAAATACGCACCTGAACTGTACTTTTACCCAAGAAATGCATACATCATACATGCTGCTAAAACTAAATTATTTTTATTTCACATTCATCTCACTCATTCTCATCTGAATCTGGATAACCCAGGCCGGGCCAGGCGTTAACTACCAATTATTAATTCGAAGTGGATGCGTACACCGCGGCGGTGTACCTAGCGAAACCATCGGCTTCGGCCTGCGTAAACCGCGGCGGTGTACCTAGTGAAATCGTGGGCTTTGGCCTGGGTACACCGCGGCAAAAAATTTACCATTGGCCTGGTTTTAAGATATACTTGTTGGAGAGGATCTTGTGTGGTCAAGTGGTAGAGTGGACGCTTGGCGATAATATAGTTTGAGATCAATTCTCAGTAGGGGATCGAGTTTTTTTCCTCCCATTTTAGTTTTAAAATATTTTGTAGCAATTGAAACAATTTAAATATATGTTTAAATATTATATTAAATACACTTTATATATTTATTTATATATATAAGTGTTTCAACAAATTGTGCCGGCCTTTGACTTTGAAAATACCGGTAACTTTAGTAATAAGACTTTAGACATTTGAAAACAAACTTAAAGTTTCTGAAAGCGCATGTAATACATGATGATCATGTACAGTTAGTGTATGTCAATGTAACGTGTATAACAGAAACATTATGAATACTAAGTGACTGATATTCTATTGTATTTCAACATTCTTCGTATAGTTGAATATTTACATTTTACTTTTACGAACAACCAAAGAAAATACCAGTATGAATAATATTCATGCATATGAATATTAATGTGCATGGTCGTATTTCAACCTTGAACCATCTTGCTTTCACTATGCCTTATGCATTGGCAAAATGTACATACGATATCAAAGGTTCATTCACAACACTCAGTCTCACAGCAAATCTTTTGAAAACACCTCGATTTTAGAAACTTGCGGAGCGGTAGCAAACTGTATAGCAAAGCCATAGGTCTGCGTTTACCCTTTTCATGACGTAATTTGTTTCCAGAATGGCATGGCATGTGCTATTCTCAGGGTAAAACATGACGTTTTCTCACCTCACAGAAACCATTGCACAATGCGCCTGGGACAGGATTTGCACTATGTCAAAGTTTTTCTATTTGTTGTTGTTGTTTTTTTTTTAAGAAATCGATCCTTGCCGGGGAGTGGGGGGTGGTGGTGAGTTATGGGCAGAGGCTTAGCCAAAAAGAGGGCATTCACAAATCACGGCTCGGGATAGGGGTTGTCCACAAAGGACGTCCGCACAACAAACTTACCTTTTGCATCCTTTAACTTCACGACTTCCTGATCAATGTATGAGTATGTGATTCTCTTCCCGTAGTGTATTTGTGGCGTAAATATATCATGGTGCTAACAAAATAGATACACTGTCTTCCCATTCGTTTTTACACCATGCCCCGAGGGATCACATACAATGTTATATTTATAAGGCACCCCCCCCCCCCAAAAAAAAAAAAAAAAAAAAAAAAAAAAAAAAAATAAGATTCACAATCATATGATAAAACTTACAATTAATAAATATATTTGTATTTCAAGATATTGGGGGAGGGGGGAATAAAGTGGTTAACTTTAAAAATAAATCATGGTTTAACATTACACCCCCCCCAGCCCCTTCCCTTCCAAAAATAATAAGAAATGCTTTACATGCACTTTGCCACATACGCGTGGACCTTACTCAATATCTTCCCAAGGTAATAAACGAATTTTTAATAGTTTTCAGTTTTAACACGAGTATAACATTAAATCTACAAGTACCGGTTAGGCCAAAAAGTTAAAGACTCGCAAAGACCATAGTTTGGCTACTGTAAATCGCTGCGGTGTACGCAGGCCACAGACCATGATTTAGCTAGGTACACCGCCGCGGTGTACGCAGGCCAAATTCAATAGTTTCGCTAGGTACACCGCCGCGGTGTACGTAGTGCCGGCCTTATTAATTATAAACATTCAAATTCCAGACAAAGCTTACCAGCCACCATCGTCAATGAAGCTTTGTTGCTTTGACTTTATTATCAAGAAAGATAAAAATATAAAATAAGATGTGCGTATAGGCGAAAGCAAATGAAATAAGTCGGTAACTTTCATATTAGCTACTTAAGGGATTTTTTTCAGTTTCTTAACTTTCTTCCATTATAATAATCTAAGTTTTTAAATTTTATGTTTTAATGTGTGAAAGCTGAGCTAGTCTTTAAACAATTTGTGGTATCTTTGACTCAAATTTTATTCATGATTATAAAATATATATAATATTTTAATATTTATTTATTGACACTTGGCAGTAGGCAGTAGCTTGACTCTTATTCATAGATGTTATTTTAAATTTAGAAATGTACAAGGTTCGAAAATAAAGTTCACACGGAAGTGGTCATAACCTAAACAGGAAGTGGCAATTCGCTATCGCGCACAGTCTATGAGTAATCTGGAGAAGATGATGGATTTTTTATTTTGAAAATAAAAATATTTGTTGGTCCAAGTGCCATACAATGAAAAAACTATTTGGTTCTAACCAACAAAACCCTTTCATAGGGAAAACATTTCAAATAGGCCGTTATTCAGTCATTGTTGATGATGTTATAGCGGAAGGTGAGCCCAGCAGTATTTGGTTTGCAAGCACCAAAAATATCCCTGGGGGCGGGGAGGGGGCGGTTCCCTTGCGAGAATTCTATGATGAATAAAAGTGGTCTATGCCATTCTTCGTATGTAAGATTAGTCTTTTCTGCTGACTATTTTAAAAAGCTTACTATCTCACGAGGGAAGGCAGGAAGGTCACATAAGTCTTGAGACCTAAAATAAATTTAAGTCACTTATACTATAAGTAAGCAATTAGTTTGGGGTATACCTTATTGAAAGTTAGTGTTTGGTATCTCTCCTGGAGCATGCGACATTCAATGATCAGTCTTTAACTCAAGGTATCATAATTTCATTTTCAAAATGGTGACCTCCACTTTATAATTTACATAGGGTATCGTTATGCCTTTTATTATAGTCGATAAATTATAGGTAAGGGCTACTAATATAAATAATAAATCTGCCCATTACTTAAACTTAAAGCTGACATCTTGCTTGTTTTGCCTAGAATTATCTGACCCTAAGCCTAAGCGCAGTGACATCATTTCGGGGATCCCCAAAACTGGATTTAGGGTAGCAGGACCAACAGTTTTACTGGAAAGATGTGTTTGATTACTTTCCCGTTCATCCCTGAGCTTTATTCGCATTATAAAGTATAACTGATAACCACCCCACCTTCAATAAAAAAATAATTTCTGGCCTCCCGCACTCTTAAGACAAAAAATGAGAAAGTAAATTTTTATCAAATAAATACAGAGCTAAAATTCGACATTGTTTGAAAAATGAAACTATGGCCAGAAGTTGACCCAGGGAACCGCCATGACCTATAAACTGGAAGACATTACCAGCCCTGCCGCTAACAGTATTTTAGCCTGCTTGTTTGATTGAGAATCAATTTGAATTTTTTTTTTTTTTAGGGGGTTAGCTTAGAAATTTTAAGTTAGAAATAGGTCAACTTTTCAATAACTTAAATTTTTTTTATTAATCACTGTAAAAAAACAAAATTCTTAAATTTATTGTGTCATTTATGACATACTGTATTCAAAATTCATGTGTGTAGACTGAAGGCAGCGGTCGAAAACAAAAAAAATCAAAGAGGTCACTGTTTTAGGTTATGTAATCTGTCATTGTAACCATATTTGTCAAGACGTTACCTATTATCAATAGTGGCCATTGGATAATTAATAATTAATGTAATTGGTTACCCAGAATATAAATGCAAAATGTGACAAATAATAAGTCATTTAAAAAAAAAACAGTTATATAGCACAAATAATTATTCTTGGCTATCAAATTACAAATTTTGGGGTTGGTTGCGATGGACATGGGATTGATAACCACTTGTGACTTGTCTTTGACTTACTTCTTAGATAGACCTATTAAAAGTATTATAATATATTATAAAATAGTAAAGTAGGTGACATATATAAGAATATTAAGCTAGTATTGATCGTTTTATGTAAATAAAAAAAAAAACTTACCTTTGAAATTGAAATAATTAAGCAAATATAAAATTAAAGTCACCACAATTAAATATTTCACAATTAGACTTCTACTAGTAATAATAAGTCTAACACATTCATTTCCATAGGTGTTCTCAAAGAAAATAACTAACACAACACATTAAAAAAAAAATTACACAACATATTTTAAAATGTTCCACAAGTGAATTATAATTACTAGCACACCTTTCAAATGAATATCAACAGCTTAAAACTTATGACTTCAAAATTTAGATCCCTCACTTTAGCTTACTTATTAAGTCTAAGTAAAACTAAGTTAATGTTAATGGCTCATATGACTGCAATAATTGTTGTTAATATGTAAAATGATAAAATAAAAAGTTCATTCATCAATTTTAAATGAAATTAATCCCTATTTTATTTGTTAGACAGCTCCGCAGAAAAGTTCAAATTGATATCTAAAGAATATTATTATTATTAATTAAATTTAAACAAGTGTAGAGTCAGCACATTTGATACATTTTTTTTTTAATAAGGAAAATTATAGACATTAAAAAATTTGGGGGAATATTAACAATAGCTCTATTTATATTTTTTTATTTTATTTAGTAAAAGTCAGATCTAACTATATTTTTTGTAAATATATTTTTAACTCATTTTATAATAAAGTTATAGGTGGAAAATCAAAAGCAAAATATGGGTCACGAAGTGTGGAGGAAAACTCCATTGCAAAAATTGGTTTTAAAAATTCATAACCTTAGAACCACTTGACTTAGAACGTTGACCTCTTGTGTTTTTGTAAATCATTCTCTAGGCTCTATTCAGCTGTATGGTTTGAAATTTTCACCAAAATGCATAACAGTCAGCAAGAATCATTTAGTTAATTGCAGTGACCTATTGCTAAGGCCTAGTTGTTTTTATTAACAGGCTTTACAAGGGGACACTTCTTGTGAAATTGTGTTACTTATTAAATGAAATTGTCACACATGATATACGTAATTTTCTGGGGGGTTAACTACATAGTCAATTGTTATTTTTACTGTAGTGTCATAGTATAGGCCTACCAGCAGTTTCTTAAAATCCATAGTCTAAATGCTTTTTTTTTGTGGGTATTTAATTAATTTATGAGTTATTATGTAGTAATTTCAATGTTAAAAAAAAAATAAGCACTCTTAAATAAGTTTGTTTTATTTTTTTTTTAAATGTCTAAAATTATGATTATGAAATTACATGTGTATTACTATTAGTGTGTTTACTTTGAATGGGTGAGGATGATATGATGATTTCAGAGTTTTAAGACATAAATATGTGATTGTAACAATAGCAAGGATTATGAACGTATGAGTTCAGTTTTTTACTTAGTCAAATTTATTCTTTGTTTTATGAAATCAGTTACTATTAATTTGGATAATTTTAATCAGACTTTCTGAAATTTTGAGTTTGTATTTTAAAAAAAAAAAGCCTATTGTTAGTTTTAATGAAGTGAAACCGCATTAACCCAAGAGGTGTAGAATTTGAATTGTTTGACTATGTTATTTTTTAAATCTAGGTGGCTTTGCTGTAGTCTTTCTGGTAAAACTTCCAAATGGCAGCCGCCTTGCTCTCAAAAGAATGTATGTCAATAATGATCGTGATCTGGCAGTTTGTCAAAAAGAAATAAAAATTATGGTAAGTTGTACTTTACTGAGTGTTCAGAAGGTGTTTATTTATCATTTAAATTTTTTACATAATTTTGTTTGGTTATTGACACAGTGTCATAGTAAAAAAAATATATTACTGTCTGGTTACTTAAATATTATACTACTTTTAAAAATATTTTTTCCCAAATTCTAAATCTAAATTTTGTACCAGAAAGTTAAGCTATTTATTGTTCATGCACTTACAGAAAGATCTGAGTGGCCACAAAAATACAATTCGTTACATCGAGTCAAGTATTACAGTTACACAGAATCGTGTTTATGAAGTACTTATTCTTATGCAATATTGTAGAGGTAACATTTATTTTGGTGTTTTTATTTATTTTTTGAATGTTTTGATGTAAACCATAGTAATTATTGCTAATAGATTAATGATAATGTTAGTAATAAATGTATTTTAAAATAATATATATTAGACAAGAATTCTATTTCTACAAAATAACTAAAATTTGAATCTCAAAAATTAAGTGCAGTATTATACATTATTATAATGCCTACTGTATGTGTTGTTAATTGTTCTAGGTTCTGTAATTCAAGTGATGAATGAAAGAATAGACTCTGGTTTCTCTGAGAAGGAAATCCTAAAAATATTCTGTGATGTATGTGAAGCTGTGTCCCGATTGCATCATTGTCAGACTCCAATTATTCACAGGGATTTAAAGGTTCTTTTTTTTTTCTTTATTTTTTTTTAAAGTTCAAAATAAAATAATAAAATACTTTTTAAAAAAAATGTTTGAAGTTATAAATTATTTCTAAAATCAGTAGGTTCCAAATTGTGTGATATGTAAGGATATAGTATTGATTAATAGAAGCATCTTTGATCTAACCAAAGACCTTAAGGGATCTGGAAAAAATACTTACTTGTTTTGTATATGTATACCAGTCTATCTATATTCATGTTATTTTATTTTGTAGGTGGAAAACATTCTCTTAGGTGAAGCAGGGAATTATGTCTTGTGTGACTTTGGAAGTGCAACAGGAAGGGTGATGGATCCATCACAACAAAAAGTCACAGCAATTGAAGAAGAAATTCAAAAGTAAATATATATATATATATATTTATATTTTTTATTAGCAATTCTATTAGCTATATTTACAATTCTAGAAAAAAATATGTGTAAAGGTAATAATAATATGAATTTGAAGATTCTAATATAATCTGATTAGTCAAAATAATATTTTTATTGATAATTATTTGTTCCATTTGCTCTGTTTGCAAAAATTATTTCTTATTTCTGTACTCTTTAGATATACCACATTGTCTTATAGAGCTCCAGAAATGATAGATTTATATGGTGGTACACCCATCAGTACAAAAGCTGATATATGGGTAATTATTTACTATAAAAGAATTATCTTAAAATTTCTGATTTAATATATTTAATAATTCTCACTTATAAGAACAGTCTATTACATATATTATAGATTAATAGATGGCTGGGCTATTAACCACTAATTTTCTCTTTAAAATTTGCTTATATTTTACTGAATAAGTATCCCTCAAGAATTGTAACTTACAAATGATACATAATGAATTCAAAATTGTGTTATAAATTATGTTAGTTAGCATGTGTGATGATGATATTGCATGTTGGTCCATAAAATAAAAAGATAAAAGTAAATAAAATTACTATCATCAAGTTGCTTATGTTTAATTTCTCCTATCCTGCATGATTATTATTTTTTTTAAATTTACAGGCATTAGGTTGCCTACTTTACAAATTGTGCTTCTTTACCCTTCCTTTTGGAGAGAGCTCCCTTGCAATACAAAGTGTCAACTACACCATACCAGATAACTGCAGATATTCAAATTCTCTCATGTCCCTTATAGGTAAATTGCATATTTAGCCTTTTACTAATGTGCATTTACATCATGGTCATGTTTACATTGCTTTATAGTTTTTTCAATTTTGTAAAATAGTGTTATTAAATTTTGTTAAAAAGAAATGCTAGGAATCATTAAATGCCAGGAAATGTTTATTGAAGTTATATCATTCCCACCTTTTCAGCATATATGTTAGAGAAAGATCCACACAAGCGACCTGATATTTTTCAAGTATCCCATGTGGCCTTCCATCTGGCTGGAAGAACTAATCCTGTGCCAAATATGAATGTAAGATATTCTTTATTGTTAAAAATATATTGTTTATATTGATTTTTTCTTCATAAAGTCAACATTTGCTGTCTTGCAAATGTAATAATAACTCAATAAGTCTTTCATATGTTACAATGCTACACACAGGAGACTTCCTATATGTTGGAATTTATATATGTTTCTAAATTTACTATCTCATTATTATTGGTAAATCTCACTCAACTATGATTTTAAGAGATTCTGAATCATCCCCATAAGCCCTGTTTTAAAGGATTTAGGTTTATAAAGTGTTATTTAAAAGTCATTGAGGAATTTTTACAATTATAAGAGCTTTTTGTGAAAAGTTTGAACTAATTTAGTTATGAGAGATTATTCTTTCCCATTTTTGTCTTTACTTAATGATCTGACCTTAAATATTTTTTTTCTACCTACTAGTCCTCACCTGTGCCTGATCTCAGAAGTTTACCGATGCCACTAACAGAAACAGAGGCAAAGCAAATTAAATCTTCTGCACAGAAGTAAGCCTGTATTCTAAAAGTAACATATCAAATCACTGTTCAGCCACATTTGTGGACAGCAAGTATGAGATGTTATTTCCTTAGCATTTAATAGCTGAATACAATTATCGGTGTGTTTTTAAATATCTATATTTTAGTTTATGATGCTTTACATAGCTAATGATTAATAAGTATTTTTAAATTTAAAAAAATGATTAAAATATTTGATGTATTTTATTATCCTTAAAAGAGGTAATACTCAGAGTTAAAAAAAAAATTGTAATGGAAACACTAATAAATTAATTAATCAGCAACAGATAAGTGATATATTATTTCTATGTATTCTATATCTTTTTAAAATTTGTATGTATAATTTAGAATTTATTTATATATTTTTATTTTCTGTGTATTCTCTATCTTTTCTTAATTTCTTTGTATTCTATATCTTTTTATAAATTCTTTGTATTCTATATCTTTTTATAAGGTATTCTTTATCTTTTTATAATTTTTATGTATTCTTTATCTTTTTTATAATTTCAAAAAAGTTTTTACAAATTATTCACAGAAACCTCACAGCTCCTACAGTAGAGAGCACAACAGTAGCTCCCAGACAGAGACCTCGTGGTCAAGCAGCTCCTGCTGCTACAACTCTTGGACTTCCCATTCAGACCTCCATAGCTCCTCGACGTCGACCAACTGCCAGTAATCCAAATACTCCCATAGGTAGGTCTTATCATAAGTAACTCACTTGTGATTGAATTACAAAGTGAGAGGTTCTTCCTTGCATTCTTGACTTTATTTTAAATGAATTCCAAGCAAAAGCTATTCGCTGACATTTTGTTTTTGTTCTTGTCAACTATTAAAAACATTTCAAAAATGGATTACATTTTATCTTAATTTCAGTTGAAGTTCATATTCATCAAATCTATCAGTAATTTACATTTCCTGTTCATTAGATGTTGGTCCCCCGCCCGCTCCTTCACCACAGTACGCCGGTCCAATGACTGTGCCTGTGTCCCCCATGTATGGACTGGGTCCACAACAAGCTTCACCAATGACGAATTATCCCCAAGGAAATGTCACAGCCCCCTCTCAGTCTTTCTATGGCCAGCCACCACAGTTTATAACGACACAGGTTGGTCCAGTTGCTAATACAGCTGAAGGGTCTGTTGCAATGTTTAAGTTTCTGTCAATTCACACCATGTAAACTAATTGTGCATCACTTTAAAACGTTATTAATTTTTCTATAGATCAGTTATGCATTATTCAGGCACTATTGTTTGAATTTAATATATTTTATTCTGCCTGATTCTCCTACTAAAAAATAAAAAACAGATTATAGAAAACACTAATTATAAAATATAGTGGGTTTTTTTTTTCATATTCACTTTTATTGCATATTTAAAGTAAGAAATTTAATGTGTAACCTTGATCATTTGAAGATCCAGCACTTAACCTGGCTTTCATAGTACTGGGGAAAAAATATTCATTTTACTTTCTACGAATATTTTATATTTTCAATGTAGCAACAAATGGGGATGTACCAAATGTATCCTAATTCAATACCACAACCCCAGTTTCAACAGCAAGTTCCTCTGACACAGAGCAATAGTTTTAATCATGCACTGAATGATAGGGGAGGGTCTGGAGAGAGACTTGTTACCAGTGCTTCAAGTAATGAGGTCAGTATAATAAAATACAGTTAAGCTTAAAGAATGGCTGTTAAAACTTAAAAATGTAAAAAATGTTACAGCATTTTGTGTGTGTGTGTACATTTAGAATATTTAACTATTGATTGCTCAAACCTCCATTGAAAAATCAATGATAAGTTGATTTTTAAATATAAAAATGTAGAAAAAAATGATAATGGGCTGTGAGGTACTAATCATCATCAGTGGCGCTACAGCCCATGTAGGGCCCTGGCCTGTTCCACCACAGCTTTCCATTCGGATCGATCCATAGCTTTCCACCTCCATGCGCAAACCCCCAACTGGTGTCATATTTTTATTCAGGCATAGGTCGAAATCCAAAATTATCAGTCAATTTTCCCGTGTGAGGTTTAGCTTTTGTAACACTTGGGTTTTTTTTTAATTGACAGGGTCATCAGCCCTGCGCACAACCATCTAAGGGGGAGGGGGGTGGAAATGCCCCTTGCAGCCCTGAGGGTATCTGCCTTTGTATTGGGTTGGGTTCTTAGCCTATGCGGATCCCTCCACTTCTTACAAGTCAGTAGGTTCCGATTTAGGTCCGCCCCGGGTATTTTATTTCCCCGGTTCCCGCCATATCATGTGGAGTTTCCCCTATCCACCACCTGGGGAGGCGTTCGATGGAAGATCAATATCTCCTCACGAGCTGTGAGGTTTTACATCTCAAAATAAAAATGCTGTACCAGTAATGCTCTACTTTAAAATCTTTGCCTTATTCTGTCAACATTTGAACATTAATTACTTGATGGAACAAATTTTCATTCTTACACACCTTGTTATAATAGATCAGCAAACTTTACATAAATACGAATTACTACACAATATATTATAATGGCTTGTCCATAAATCAAAATTTGTATTATGATAATGAGAAAGAAAAATGTATAAATCCAGATGATTAACATTGTTGAAATAAATAGACCAACAGACATTTTGATCAGTTCCTCTAAAAATAGCTACTAAATTAATTAGAAAACAACACTTTATTTTATATACCCATTAGCACATCTTCAGGTGGCAAGAGGGAAAATTGCTTGAAAAATGTCCTGCTTTGATCATTTTTTTGTTTTAAGGAAAAAAAATTGGGGTGAGGTTTCGAGGGCTCATATATGTTAATACTAAGTAAAATTTGGGGCTCATTAAAAAGTGAACACAACACAATGGCAGTGCAAAAACTATGATTAAAAGAAGGAATGAAATATTACTTTATTTCCTCTGTTAGTTACCAAAAGAACATTCCTATAATTATCTTGATATCTGTTTGTTCACCAGGTAAAGACTGCCCAGTTAATAAGCTTAGATGACGATGTCATAGAAGATACATCCAAGTCAGATCCAAACCTCACACAGAGTGACAATACTTTTAAAAGGCCTCAAGCACCACATGGTCGAATTACATGCACTGAACCAAACTCTGTATGTGTATTATTTCACATTGTGTCATATATTTATCTAATTTTAAAGCAGAAATAGCCAAACTATAACATTTTAGTTTAGTGGTAGATAATAAAAATTAAGGATTTCCATTTTTGACAATTCACTTTTTTTTCTCCCCAGTCTTCATCACTACTACTTAACCCACCCAATGATGTTAGAGTCAATAGACACAGACGAAATGTTAGTGACACATCTTTTCTCACTATGGGTGGGAAAGGAAGTGCTTTCAGGTAATTTGAGGATTTTAATTTGTTTTAAAATTTGAGCACACAGGTTTTAACGCATTCAAAACACGTTTTTGGGATGCCTTTTTATTGTAATTAAAGACACTCTAAAAATCATCTTACAAAAGAATACCTGAAATGGAATAACTGCTAATAAGTTGACATTGATATAAAATTTTCTTAGTAAATGTTCTTATAAGTAGTTGAAAAATCTCATTCAGCTGTACAATTTTGTATGTGTCAGCTGATAAGATAAGATAAGATTCTTTTATTGATCCAAATAAATGGAAATGTTAGTTTTTATTTTCTTATATGTATGTGTCTTTCAGTATAGCTGCATCTTAATTTGAGGGCTTTTCTTAACATTAAAGATTTGACTTTGAATATCAACAGTACTTTTTTTTTTTTAACCAGGGCTTACCATGGAAATCAACTGTCTGCAACAAATGAGTCAAAATCAAAGTCTGCAACCAATACGCCAATCAATTCACCACCACCATTGTAAGAGTTTAATGATTTTAATAGAATAAATAGAAATTGTTCTCATCATAGTGAAGGAAAGTATAACTAGTTTAAAGTTATTGTTTATGCACTTAAAATTGTCTTAAACACCACATGCTATCATCTTGAATAATTAAATTTTAAGTCGCAAAAATAGCAGCATTAAGCAACTAAATTACTCCTTTGTGCTCTTAGGATGTTTTTTAGTCTATTCTAGTCACTTAATTATGTCTCAACTCATTTTGTACAATGTGGATGAAATTTCAGAGGCTCCCAAAGGTTTACAAGACCCCTTTCGGCTGACCTTTTGGAATGGAACCCATTTGGGGATGACAATTTTGGTACTGAGACTGATGACATGATGTTTGGAGAGGAATTTGATAAAATTAGGAGAGGCTCCAACACCAGTAAGTAGTCCACTGAGGGGCAGTGAATTTCAATTGCATTTATTTTCATTTTAACAAAGACTCTTAAAAGCTTTTATCACACGTCCACAGCTCTAATTTTTTTGTTTATTTAAAGATCTAATCTACTCACAACAAATAGTTGCACAACTATCAGTAATGCTGGGGACATAGTGGCCTTAAAAATTTGACTTTCTCATACTGTTAAGATGTCAAACTTAGTTATTTAGTATAAAGGTTTGAGTAACAGCTTCAAAATAATAAAGCAACAGAACTAATTATGCAGGATTTAAAAAAGAATTCTTTTCTATAATTTAACACAGCTATTAGCATCACTTTTTAATTCTAAGTATAGTAATTTTGCGGAAAAGACATTTCTCTGTTCTTGTTTTCCTTTTAAATCCCAGCCCAAAAAAATCTGAAGAAATAATTGTGAACACCTTTTCAGAACACATACCCCCTAGCTATCCTGACAGTATTATAACCATACTCAGTGAAGTTAATTTGTGTTTTGCTTGTCTCCTTTCCCCCTATCTCTCTTATCTCAGGCATTTCCAATGTTAAAAGTCGCGAAGATCTTGTGATGTCCGGCTCTGACTCATCAGATCCTTTTTGTAATGCACCATTCAAAAAAGCTGGTAGGTCACCAACAGTTCCTAGTTTTCAAAGCTTTTCCCCTAAATGTCTTGAGCTTTGGGATTGCATTCTCATTCAATAAGCACTCCCAATAAACTATTTTAAAAAAAACACCATTTTTTTTTTTCCGAATTAGTTTGTTTTATTCTTTTTCTTTTTTGTTACTTAGGGAAAAAATTATTCTGGCTCCTCTCTTTGGTTTTTAAATTCATTTCCCCCTCGTTATAAATTCATTAAATACATTTTGTGTAAGTGGTTTTTTTTTATTACAACTCTTTAAGAAATAATTTTTCCAGACTTAACTCTCGTAACATCTTTCATTCAATTCATCAGCTAATAATTTTATATTATTACATAACTGTTTTAAATAATCGATTGATAAAAGAATTCTTTTAACTAAAACAGCCTAACTTATTCTCTGTTTACTTCTCCTGTTGCATAGTTTTACCAAATTTTCATTATGCTAGTACCGGTCGTGATATTTTATTTATTTGATTGGTCCTTTTTGAGTGTTTACTTGAGATATTTTCATTAAGAACTTGTTATATCAGTAAAAATTAAAAAATCTTTTATTAACTCATGGTTACATTTTGCAAACCTAGGGAATTCTGTTAAGCTGGGTTAAAACTGAGCGAGTCACAAATAAATCAAATCAAGTAACCATTGAACCATCTAAAGCACAAATTAAATTCTCTTAAAGAAATGCTAGTTTATATTAGCAATATAAAAAGTGAACCTCAAGTCTGGTAGCTCATACATTCAATGTTTATTACATACCTTCATACATTTTCATTTAAATGTGAAATAATTTTAAAATTCAAATTACTTTGAAAGGCATTCTTCATGCAATGAATTAATTATTTATCTTTAAAAAAAATGTTACGACTCAAAAGAAATGATGACTTTATTACAACAATTTTTGGATTTAAAAATAAAAAAATATCCTAATTCCCAAAATATTTGGTCAACCCAATCTACTGTGAAACTTCAGGCTTTATCTTTTGATATTAATTTCAAATTTATCTGCTGTGCTGTTTGTTTCTTCTCTCAAGCAATTTGCATGCATTTCATAAGTCATTCTACTCAACCTTTTTGTTAATACTAAATATTACAATATTTTTCTCAATATGACATTCTGATCTTGCTTCAAGGCATTTTTAAAATATCACTTCTTATATTATATTTATGTTTATTTTATTTTTTCTTAAATGTTCTCACAATCACTCAATTTTTTATCTTCAATGTTCAATAAGATGTTATTAGTAGGAATAGATACATTATTAGACTAGCAGTAGAGTGCAGCATCACAGGGGCTTAAGAAAGGGTTACATAAGTAAATAAATTGCATAAAATTATCATACTGTTTGATTTGTAATGGTCAGGTTAAATATTCTAAAGTTGTATGTATACCCCTGCATGGAGCAGAACTAAATAACCATGTTATGTTGATGTTTGAATGGAAATGAAAGAAACAAAGTATGGGAAAACCTGAAAAAAAAGAGTGCAACAAAACAACGAACGTGTCAGCAAGAAGCCTTCATCAGCTACTGTTGTCTGGCTGCCTTTGACAGTTGTGCAGATAGATTTGTGCATGTTAGTGCTGGCAGAAATGGTGCCCATGTTAGCGCAGACCCGTCTGTAAGCTCCCACTCGCAGAAGTAGATCTCAGAATATTCATTAATTTTGTTTTAAACATTCATTGTACGTTATGTCGGGGTGTTACTTTACTAAAGTAATCTTTTTTTTAAACACTAAATAGACAATAAAGCGTTGGCGCACGCAATAACTGGCAGGGAAGAATGCTTTATGGTTGCACTTTTTTTTATAATATTATCAACACTTAGTTTTAAATCTAAATTAAGTTTGTAGCCGAATATGTAATTTTGTGGTTATCTTTAATTTCTGTTTTTTTTTTTTTTGTTGTTGTTTTTGCTAGGGCAACTTTAAAATTTAACTTTGTATACTTCCCTCCCTCCCCCCCCCAAGCTATTGTAAGAAATAATTCTTTTAAAAATATTAATATGTAATAAGTAAGCAAAACAAAATATGTAAGTTTTAAATAAGGATAATTTTTAAAGCTCTTTTTTCTAAATATTATCAACACTTAGTTTTAAATCTAAATTAAGTTTGTAGCCGAATATGTAATTTTGTGGTTATCTTTAATTTCTGTTTTTTTTTTTTTTTGTTGTTGTTTTTGCTAGGGCAACTTTAAAATTTAACTTTGTATACTTCCCTCCCTCCACCCCCCAAGCTATTGTAAGAAATAATTCTTTTAAAAATATTAATATGTAATAAGTAAGCAAAACAAAATATGTAAGTTTTAAATAAGGATAATTTTTAAAGCTCTTTTTTCTGAATTATAAAAAATTCAAAGAAGACAACTTTATTTTATTGTCTGGAGGGTTCATAGCATGAAGGAAATAAAAGTAAAAGAGGATCATTCTTCTATGGACTGAGTTTTTAATCATTTTTTTCTCACTAAAAAATCATCTCCATTTTTTTAATAAAATATACTTTTAACTAGATCTATTTCATAAATGTTTTTCAAATTGTTATTACCATCTAATCATGTCACATTAGTTCCTGTGTATGTATCTTTGCAGTATTTTCTCATACCTTGTTGTTTTCTGTGTTGCCCTATGCTAATTTGACTGGACATTTCACTCTAAAGTTGGGCTTAACATAAGCATTTGCTCAATTAGCATAAATTGTGCTAAAGGCCTGGTTAGGTAAATGTGACCACAAGTAGTGTACATGTGCCAACGTTTCATTTATTTCAATATTGCTACAATTTATTTCCCACTTTATTTATTACATTTATTTTATTCACCATAAAGTCAGAACTGTTTCTTCTTCCCTTAATTTTTATTTACCTATCTATGCTTTTTATTATAATAATGTATTGTAAAGTTAATAACACTTTACTCCCTATACGAAATATAAAATAAAACTACAACAAAAATTAATATCTCGTTTAATGTTTATCAAAGAACCTACATATTAGAACAAATAACAACTCAAATGTTACGACATACTTGAACATTGAAATCATTAGCAATTAAAAAAAAAAGAATATTCAGACATTGGGAAAAAGAAATGATTATACAGTACAATTTTGACTCCAATAATTACAATTAGCATCACAAATTTGAACTTTTAGCATACTTCTGAAAATTTAGTGCAAGAATTTAAATAATAAAAATGCTTCTTTGTGAAAAAGATGCTGATAGAATTCATCATGACTGCAGCTGTTTAATTTTCCATTTTGACCTAAAGATTTTTTTTTTAAAAGTACATTTTGCCCATTCTTCCCCCTCCCTGTATTTAGTGGAGTTAAAACCATTGCTTTTGCACTTATTTAATTTCTCATTCACTTTTCGTTTCATCCCAAAATTTTTCCCTTGTGTTTAATGAAAGTTACCATTTTAGCAGTCGGCACTGTTTTAAGAAAGTTAAAAGGAAACTTGTTGGCTCTGACTAACTTGTGGCGCACATTTATTTTCCCAGGCCAAAAGTGGTAATTCTCCGAGTCCTCAAACATGAAAAGACCAGCAAAATTGAGAGTAATGGGTGGCAGTACATCCCAGATGGCTTCCTGGCTCACCCTACTGTTCTTCACAGGACTTCTATCAATGCTGATTTTCTTCCTTTCTTTTTTTCTGATTTGATTCGCAAGCTCCAGGCTATTGACTTTGAAATGATGCCTCAAGCACTTCGTAGTTTTGAGTCCATTAAAGAGAAATACGCCGACATGCTCAAAACAATTAAGTCTTGTTGTAAAGGAAATTATTCATAATTCTTCCTCAATCTTACAAACCAGAATGTATAATTTACTAAATTTTTATTAGTTGTATTTTGTGATTAAGATTATTTTAGTTCAAATAAAAATTTTAAGACAATGTTGCTTGTCTTTAAGAAGAAATATTTTTTTTTTTTTTTTTTTAATTTTTTCAATTTTTTTTTTTAACCTTTTTTAATCATTTTAAATATTTTATTTATTAGGTGTATTTTGTGGTTAAGATTATTTTAGTTTAAATAAAAATTTTAAGACAATTTTTCTTGTTTTTAAGAAGAAATATTTTTTTTTTTTTTTTTTAATTTTTTCAATTTTTTTCTGTAACCTTCTATAATCATTTTAAATATTTTCAAGGCATAAAGACCTTGTAAAGAAATTGTGTAATATTATTCTGTTAGCATGTAATGTGCTTCATTTCTTTTGTTGTATTTTTGTTTCATGGAAACGTGCAGTAGAATGAAATGTTTATTATGTAAATACATTTTTTTTTCATTTTTTTTTAAAATATGCAAGCACACATGCAGATGTTTGTATTCAAAGCATGTTAGAATTTTTTTTTTTTAATATATTACTTTTTACGGGTTGTTTTAAATCAATTTTTTTCCTGCTATAAATCTGCTTTAAACTAACTCATTTTGAAAATAGGAATTTCATTAAAGAAGATAAAGTTAATATTTTGACACGCAAAAAAAGATAGAAGCAAATGGATTTATGTGTCATGCAAAGTAAAGATATGTTTACATAATGGTATTTTGGTTTTTAAATTTTAATGTTTAAATAGTGTATCTTGTAAATAACATCTTTATGCACATCAGGGTAGCTCTGTAAAAAATACTTTTGCAGTAATACTTTGGCGTAGTAGTGTTTTTAATTGTATTGATTTTTTTTTCTTTTTGTGTTTGAAAAAATGTAAGGTTTTTAGCTGCATGTAATGTAAAATTACGGATAAATTTTGTACATGCAAAATAATTTAGTGCTTGCACTGTAGGAATAATGTAGTGTAATTTCACTAGATTGCAGTATTATTTATATTTCTTTTTTTTTGGCTTCTGAAACCTTCATGTTCATATTTATTGATGATCTGTGAAATCTTGTGTAGCTAATGGTTAAGTGGAACTTGCTAGTCCTTTAGACTGATTGTTGTCATCAGTCATGGTTAAGAGAAACTTGCAGACCTGATTACTCTGACGATTTTGGCATACAATGTACAATTTTGTGTTGTCTTTTACGGTTGTACGCCAAGACCTGTTAAGACTACGATTTTAAGAGACCGCGTTGAAATTATATTTATTCCAGTAGCTTTTCCAATTAAAAAAAAAATTATTATTTTTATTTCTTTCGGTTTTTAGTTTTGGCTTGAGAAATACGATTAGCTGGAGACCATGTATAATTATATTACGTTTGCCCTTAGAGGATCATTGAGTGGTGTTGATTTAGGAGATTTTGTGTACAGGTGGGGGGAGGGCAGTCTAAATATTTAAGTCTATAAAATTAACTGTGCCACATTTTCGTAATGAGAGTGACGATGGTCATATTGTTGCCTTGTGTGTTTTTATAATGAACTCGATAGACACGGCTACAGTAATATTACCATATTGACAACTTTAGTCAATCCGGGGCCATTATGAGAGTTGTCCATTATTTTGATTTTGCCTATGCGTGCCTGTGGGGAGGGGAGTGCTCGGCAGAAAGTAATATGTACGTCATTTAAATTTTTTATAATATTCATCATGAAACTCTGGAAGTCCAAAATTAGCATATTTAGATCTTGAAAGCTGTAAAAATATCATGCAATGTTTCTTAGGAATTATCGGCATAATGTAAACATATATTTTCACAAATGAACTTGCTAGATATACTCATTACTAACTAGTAGAGGTATTACAGTAATATTTAGTCCACCATATTCTATGTGATGTATATTTTGTTGGGCTATCCCAGTGGTTCTAAAAAATTTTTTCCCGGCACCTTTGCCAAATTCAGGTTTTCACCAGGTGCCCTGTGTTCAATTCTAACAAGAGCACTTCAAAATAGCGAATGCATAAACAAATTAAAATAAAGGATTGAGTAAAAATAAATGAAACACGTATGTAGGTCTCTAAGTGCCATCTAGTAACCATTAGTTTCTCAAGTGTGTTACCGTTTGCACTACGACGCTATATGTCACATTGGAACATTGGATTAAAAGTGGAAATAAAATTAAGAAAAATTTTGTAATGTTTCCCAACACCCCTGTGACCAAGCCGCAGCAACCCATATAGAAAAAGAGTGGGAGTAGGGGGAAAGAGTTCATAAAAAGTATGCGTGCAACAAGGGGAGGGGTGTGTCGAAAATTTGGCTTTTTTTGCCTTCACACAATATAGATCGCCGTCGCATTTGTTTGTTTCGACTCCTTATGAGACATAATTTTGTGACAATTATTCCTTACGATTGAACCGCGATGTATGCAGAAACGGAGAAAACTAGATAATGCAGTCTCAACAAGATTTTTAATGCCCACTCTTCCTTTCACCCATTTACAGCTTGTGGTAGTTATCAGACTGTAATTTCGTCAATTTTTAGAAGTTATCTTTTTTTGACACCTGCTTAACTGGATTCCACTAGTCACTTAATGCGAGTAGGTATTTTATAAATTATATATACTGTATGTTTTTTTATTTAGTATTAAGATACTGTATCTTATGATTTTAAGACGATGTACGATTTTAGGTTTGAGGGTAAACAGGTTTTAACTTGCTAGTCCTTTAGACTGAATACCGTCATCAATCATGGTTAAAAATCCAAGGATAAGTATTTATCACCTTTGTTTGTGTGGCAATATTTTCCTGAATTATTATTTTACTTTCAACATGTCTATTTTTCACAGGACATGTAACTTAAGATCATGACATTCCAAGTTGGTGTTGTATTATAAGAAGATTATCATCCCATCAACTCATTCCTCACCTACATGATTGTGTAATTTTATGTATACTAGCAAGTAGCCTTGCCATAAAAAGTTTCCACAATTTTTGTGTCACCTAAGAAATAGAATTCTGCATTGTGTTTTAGCTGTTTGTTGGACATTAATTTATGTAAATTAGCATAACGTAATACATGCTTTAAATATTTGATTGATTTGAAGAAGAATACCGGTAGTGGCAAAACACCAAAGAAATTAAAAGTCAAAATCTTCATGGTGAAATGAATGTGTTTGTTTTAGTAGTTAGGAAATGTGAACGAACTGAAATTCATTCTCTTTCAAATAATAAATTTGGCAAAACTTGGGGGGGGGGGGTTATTCAAGCCACACGAAAATCAGGAATCACATGGTGTAAATAAACACGGGTTATTTTTATGTCTTCATTAACATGTTACTTGCACAATAAATTAAACTGAAATTCATTCTCTTTCAAATAAAAAATTTGGCAAAACTTGGGGGGGGGGGGTTATTCAAGCCACACGAAAATCAGGAATCACATGGTGTAAATAAACACTGGTTATTTTTATGTCTTCATTAACATGGTACTTGCACAATAAATTTAATTAATGCTTGTTAACAACTTTTTTTACTAATCCACATTTTACACAATCCACATATTTTTTTTGTGATCAAATTTTTGTTAGTGGCCAGAGCATGACGTGAACATGTTTTCTCCTCTCATATCCACATCAAGGGACGAAGAAAAATTAGTTTCACAACAGTTGTTTTGATGCTGTTTGTGCAACAGTGAGGACCTTCTCTGTACTGTTCTTTTCAATAAAATTTGAATTCTGTTGCTTGATTTTACATGTGCTACATATTGTAAAATGAGAACACCATATCAAAAGTTTAACTGTTACCACAAATGAGAGCATATCGGTTGAATTTTTAACATGTTTTCTTTTTTTTATAATTAGTTTTTTTCTGAACATATAATTTGCTAGGCATTTAGTTGTTATTGTTATTCTGCATATGATTTTGTACAATTTTAACATATTTATTAAAAAAAAAGTATGAGCCACCTAATCACTATTTATAGGATCCAAGTCATGCATATTAAAACTTGGATCCCAAAGGCTGAAGCTGTGGAAAAATTATAAAAGTATGTATTCCTAAGAGAAAATTTGATCATAAGATTAATTTTTTTCTGTCGGTAATAACTTTGGCCTTTAACATTCATACTTAAAATGTAAATGTGTACATCATGTTTTAACTTCTATTAATATTGCTCAACATTAGTAAATCCGAACTGTAATTTAGAGTTAATTGTATATCTCTACATTTCATTTTATGCTGGCCATTTTAAAAAAAAATTAAAATTTCATTCATCTTTAATTTAAAATGCTCCAGCTTGCTTTTAAGCCAAGTATCTCTGATACATGTAAAGAAATTGCTAGCTAGACATAGTCATTTTGAATGCGGAACAGAGAAATAATGAAAGAAAAATCACTCCCATGAACCTTATCACTATATCGCAAATACCCAGTGTTTTATTTATAATAAATGCGGTCAATAGATGCTCTGGCTACTTTTCATGATTTTTTTTTGTCTCCAAGCTCTTAAATATAAAAGGGATTTTTAAAAATTATTTACATATACAAAATGTTTTGAAATAATTTTGATATTTTTTTTTTATATTGTCATCCTTAGGTAATAAAATTGAATACTTTTCACCCAATGAATTGCAATTTACTATCAATATTTCTAAACCTAAGTACTTTAAATTTCATCCAAATATAATTTTTAAATAACAAGCTTAATTTTTTTAATTAGTTTTAAAATTTATATGTACCAGATATATATAAAATACTCTCTGGCTATATATGAATGCCTTCTTAAAATAGCAGAATTCATTCATGATACATATCAATGAGTTTTTTTTAAAAATCATAATTCTTTTTAGTATTTTATTTTTAATAGTTTTGATAGATTACATCTTAGCTTCCTTAAGTTTGACTCAAATTGCCATTTTCTCTCCTATTTACTATATTGTTTTGCATTCAAAACTCTTGGGGATTTTGATAATTTAACAATGTTTTTTGAACAAATTTTAAATATCCAGGATCTCTATCAAGCAAAAATACTTGTATAAAAATTTGATTTGAAAAAGAAAAAGTAAATAGAAAATTTCTTTGTTTTTACTCACATATTTAATTAATGCTTTTTTTTTTCATCTCATATTTAAAAGATGATATTTAACAACAGAAATATACTCTTCTCAAATGTATCTCTCTTTGTCACTCAAGAATTCCTGAAAACACTCACACATTTTTATCAGGCATGTAGCTGAAAAGCTTAAAATCTTCCTCTGAATGTACATCTGTATTTTTACATCATTTCTTGGGGGAAAATTATTTTTTCTTCAGTTGTCCTATAAATGCTCACTATTATTAAATCACTCATTGAATAAGTTATAGAAAAAGTAATCCTTAATCTACTCTATCAATAGAAGTAAATATATAATGTGTTTCTGTCTTTATTCATTTTAAGCATTAAGGGAACTGCTTGAATTTAAAGAAATTTTCATTTTAATCAATCATATTGATAAAGAAACCATAATAAAAGCCAAAAGTTTTTCAACATTCTGACTGTTTTTGGAGCATTATCCATTTTGGAATATTTCTGTTGTATGTTAGTTACTAGTCCAAATGAATCAAGCCATATCACACATATGTAGATAGTGTTCCTGTTACTGAAGTTTTAAACTGTAAAATTATATAATTTATATCATTAAATTGTTAAATGTTGCAATCCCTTTTTATTATGAAGTTCATGGAAAATTAATGTTTTATTAGTTCTCAACTCTAAATTAAAGAAATTAATTATTTTTAAAGTGTTTTTAGGATTACTAATGTTTCAGGTAAAAATAACCAAATACTTTACATAGTATTATTCACATTGTGTTATATTTATATTGGTTGTTAATATATACTTTGTTAAATTTAAGGAGTTTTTTTTTTTTTTTTTTTAAAATTGAAATCCTTTTGAAGTTATTAATATCTATTCCATCCAATTTCTTGTGAATGTTTAGATCCCCCCCAAAAATTTAAACTTTTTCATGACATACTTATATTCTTGCCACCTTACCCTTATGAATTTTAACATTCCATTCCATTACATATACCATGGTACTGACTGGTACTAGATATTAAATCCTTCTAAAAGTTGTGAAATCTTTTGTACAAACAGTTTTTGGTCTTTAAAAAAAAAATACAATATATCCAAAAATTTACATTATGTTCATTTTGGTACATGGAATAACTTTTAGTGGCCATGCTATCAAATATGTTTGGCACAGAAGTGTAATTATGAAGTAAGGCAAATATTATCATGTAAAATATGTTTTTTTTTTCCTTCTAAGTGGATGGCCTTGATAAATTAAATGAAAACAACTAAAAACACAAACATTGGTGTGTTAAAAACTTGACTGAGTTCAATCTAGGTCAAGCCCCCAAAGCAGGTGCATACAAATGAACAAGAATAAAATTAATGCCCAGAGCCATCAACCCAATAAAAAAAATCCATCCAAAGTGAAACGTAATGAAAAGTTTGTATTTTGGGGGAATGAGAGCTATGCCAGCTGCTGTATTACTCAGTGTGTTAAGATCAGCCAAATGGTTTTTCTGTTACAGCATATATAGTTCTTGCGATTTTGAGGGAGGATACTGGTACTTGAAATTCAGATATTTGAATAATGACCTAATACACCGTATTAAATGGATTATTCATATTTAATTAAACTTGGCCAAGTAAAACAATTCACAAAATTATTTCAGATGGCTCACTTTAAGTTTCAATTGTTGATTATGTAAAGTTGCTGCGCTGACATTAAGAATTGAATTGTAAATAGTAAATATATATTTCTTGTCATAATTTTTTTTTTTCTTTCTCCCACTAAACCATTTTTTTGTTTGGCCCTCTACCCACTGGGTACAATATGTACTGAGAACAATGTACAGTAGTCATTCAATGCAATAAACATCTTGATTTTGCACTCACACAAGTTCTGTGTTTATGTTTTGTCATTAAAAGCCATCAGAGCTTTCATCCTTGGAGCTGCAATGCTTTCTTCATTTTTCTGTTCAATGTTCACTCAATGCTATGGAGGTTTATGTACTCACTTACACTTGCGTGCTACTTGGAAGTTTCACAGTAGGTTTCCCTGAAGATTAATGCGACTTATTTATAGTAAGGCCATGCTAAAAATGGCTCCTGGATTCTTTATTGGACTTGTCTTTGCTTGTCTTCTTCTCTTTGCTTTATCAGTACAGATGTCATTGTTCTATTGATGAGAATGTACAGCCAAACTTACACAAAATGTACCATAATCAATTTGCCATCATAATACCATAAATATACTAATAAAGTAATTTCAATCACTTAAAAAAATTCATTTTTAAAAATGATGCTCTTTAGTTAATTTCATAGTTATTTCCCCTTTATCATAAGCCCGGTTATCACTCAAAATAAAGCAAAAATGTTACTTTTCACCCCAATTATTTCTTCTTTTTTTTTTTAATTTATGTTATAATATCTGTAACATTATACATTAGAGTTATTAAATACTAAATCTATATTATATGATGGAGTGTAAGCCACTCAATCTGAGTTAAAGTGACATTTTAACAATTATAGCTTTTTAAAAATTTCCCACAGATAAATCAAGGGAGCAGAGCTCCAGTGACAGCAGCTCCGATGGAGAGAGCAGAACATCCAAACCCGGTGACAAAGTCAGACTCCAACAAGCTACCTATTCTGATCTCGCGGTGCCTACACCTGAACAGGGTCTTGCAGAAACAAAATCAAGGGATTTCCTGGGTGCCGGTCAGCTGCGCGCAGCCCTGGCCCGCGCTAAATATTCCCAGCTAATAGACTCTGATGAACAAGATGATGTCAAGAGAGGTGGACAACACAACAGCCACACTGATGTCAGATCTCACATTTATGATGATGGCCAACAGTTAAATCCAGTCAGTGCAGCCAAAAGCCAACTTGAGCCTCGTGGACGGAAGGAATCCAGCTCGTCTTATGCCGAGGAAGATCATCCTTCGGGGAAGAGAACTCAAGCCAACGATTTTGGTTACCAGGAGTTGGATGATGAGTTTGGATCCAGACCTGTTGATTCAGCCATCTCGGCAACAGCCATTAAGCTGAACACCTCAGACAGCTCTAGTGTGCAGTATGTCTCCAATGCTGACCGAATCGTTGGTCACGAATACGGTGTGCGGCCTTTGCTGGATGATGATGAGCTCCAGGATGCTTACGGCTGTCAGGCCCAGAGCTGGTCTCGCTCGACGACCGGCAGCAACCTGGGGGGCGGCTTCTACACAGACCAGCATGGTAGGACGAACCAGGGTCTGGTGGGGCTGTCAGAGCAAGGAGTGTTTGTAAGTGGAAAGTCCTTTGGGCACGTGAAAGATCACACATCTTTAGCCTCTGAGCCCGCAGAAGCAGATGTCAATCACGTAGCAATGACCACCTCCTCGTCCTGGGTTGTCTCTCCAGAACTAGACAACGGGTTTGATGTTTTCTCGGCTGCGCCCTTCAAACCTAAAACCTCCAAACGATCCACCCCCGCATCAGTCCAGGCCTCCGGCACATCCTCTACCAACGCAATGCCTTCAGATGTATTTGACGGGGCCCCCTTCAAGTATAAAAATGTCAGAAGTAACAATTCATCGACAGTAACGAGTCCTGGGAGTTCTCACTCTGTCAGCGCCAGTTGTGGAGATGGTCAGCCTAAGAAAAGTGAACTGCTTCAGTCTGATGTGTTTGGCAGTGCTCCTTTCAGCACCCCTCTCTCACCCAACTCGACGGGCCCTTCTTCCAGCACAGTGTCCCCTTCTATGGAAGACATCATGTACATAAAGACCCCAGATGAGGCTCAACCAGGATGTCTGCCCGCGATGAGCCAGATATCCTCATCCCTCTACAGTGTCCAGCAAGGTGCCGCCGCACCCATCAGAGCGTCCGGTAACGTGCAACAGGGTGGTACCAGCTCCGATTACAGTATAAATATGAAAACTGCTTATAGCAATGATTCCGAAAGCACCAACAACATGCCTGTCCCCGGACCCCCTAAAGGACCTTTTGATTTAGCCATTAGCAATATCCCAGAGGACCCATTTGGAGCTGTTCCTCTTAATAAAGCCATGAAACGTTCCATGAAAAAATCCACCGTCAATAATCACCAAACCATTTTGTCCATTCCAACATCTGCTGTCACAACTGCAGCATCTAATGTTGCCGGCCAGCTGGAGGCTAATGCCAGTGTTAGGAGACTAAGAACTAATGAGCAGCAGCCGACAACCAACATTCAGTTTTACCCAAGAATTTCGCCCCAAGATAGCCAGCCCCCTGTAGAGTACAGCCAGCCCCCTGTAGAGTACAGTCAGTTTTCTGTCCCTTCTGTCACACCCAAATACAATCCTTCCTGTCCGATATCTGGCCACCCGGCCGGGTGGCAGACCCAGCTACAACCTTCCGCACCACCAATGCCGCTTTCATTTTCCCAGTACCAGAACAGCCAGCAGCAGCAGGCAAGCTTCCAGCCTGTTTTATCTGAAGGCCGTTCACAAAACCAACACTACTTTCCCCCTCTTCTTCCTCAGCAGCCAACAGCTAAGCCCCAGTCATTTATTAATCAGCATAGTAATCCTAACCAAAGTTTACTAGAAAACCAAAATTACGCCTTATACCATCCAGGCTATCAACATCCAACTACACACACACAAGCTGCGGCTAGAGAAAATGTCCAACTTCCCGTCAGGCCCATCGTCCAGCGCCCCGGTGATCTCCCGGTGACAACTGCGGCGGCCCCTCTCACGACATGGGACATCAGGGGTCAAGACGAAGTGGCCTGGGATGCCCCGGCAGAGTATGATGATGAGAGCAAATACCAGAGGTTGAAGGTCAAAGCCGCCAACAAAAGATCTAGCCGAGATGTCAGCACGTCAGCTTTTGCAAACATGAGTTTCAATGATGAGGATGAATTTTCTCACGAGTCACCATCACGGGATTCCCCCGCTGGCTCTATTGGCACGGCGTTATCCACACAAAATATCTACTCCCCCGGCCTGCATGGGGGCGAGCCATCACCGACCGGGGGAGAGCTGATTGGTCGGCCTGTCATAGTTGTACCGGCCGCAGGTTATGACACCGGCACATGGCCAAGGAAACACAGGCGGCACCCGGCCAAGGCCGAACCATTCTCGGTTAGTAAGAAGTGAAATTGTTCCGGCTTGTACATATAGAATAATGAATACAATAGATTTCAGTAGCATTCTGCTTGTTTGATATCAGTTCTGACTAGAGGGCGGTACTGTTGCAATACAAGATTGTTATAATAGTCACACACAGCATTTTGCTTCCTTACTTAGACCTTGTTTTGTTTTCAAGTTCACAGTATAATTATGATCTCTTAATAAGAAAAATCTGCTATTTAAATTAAGTTATAGGGGGATTTCTTAACCCTTACAGTACCCTGCACGTCTTTTTGCAGTAACCTAATTTTTCCCTGTGACCCAAGCGCGTCTTTTTTCACCAGCCGATCGTTTTCCCTGTGGCCCAAGCGCTTCTATTTGCCACATAGAGGGGTATCAAATAAAAACCCAGAAACGAGGATATAACCTTTCACCCCAATCTCGGGCAGAATGTTTATTCGTTAGGGGAATAGTCAAATTTTAATTTGCCTTTTAAATTATGAAAATCGACCAATTACTGAGTTTTTATAAACGGATCTGTATTTGTTGTTTCCAAGGCGCTACTTAATCGCTATTGTATTGTTGATGGCGACTTACGCCCACTTGATGAAACCTTTTGTTCTGGAAATATTGTTGAGCTTTAATTGGGATTTAGAAGTGTTTTTTTTTAACACCCTTATTCATTTCTGAACAGATAATTCTCTACATGTTATTATCAATTGTTTACAACAAAAAAGTTACAAAATAAATTAACAATCCTATCAAATTTTGACTCATTCCAAAATAATGTCTGGGCCACAGGGAATAATTAGCCAATTAATGGCCGGTACTGAGAAATAAAAGCAAAAAGTAGGTCAGTACCGTAAGGGTTAATTAGTTTGACTATGGTATCACAATTTTTACAAATGGGGTATATTTTATAAGCTATGACAGTTTACTTTTAATTCAAATTTTAGTATGATTTTTATTGTACAGCAAACAGACATGAATTTTTTGAAACACTCCACCTACTACTCACTTTAGCATGTACTACAGCATGAACATTCTTTATGGTTGTATCCATTTGCTGATTTGATCTAATTATATTCACCTAACTAGCTATTACTAGGTTTGGTTGTAACATTTTTTTAGTCAATATACAAGTTGCTAAGCTTTTCAAACAAATTTTTGGGGGAAATAATAATTTTCACCACTAAAAGTAAAACAATGAGTTAGTATTGCCGGGTAAAGGACAATTTTTTAAATGAAATGTAATCAAGCAGAGTTTTTAATTGATGTAATGTGGTACGTGTGGTCCAGTTGATGTATGTTCCAATCTTTAAGTGACCACTGATCGGTGAGCGGAAAGGAGGAGCCTGAATCATGTGATACTGGAGTTTGAACTCCTATCATAATTGTTGTTACCTAGTTTGAGTGCTTTCATCGTTGTTTGACGTAGTTCTTCTTAAAATTGGTTTCGGTCACAGTCACCACAGCAGCTTAAAAAAATCAAGACAATCATTGGTTTATGTGTAAGTTTGGTTGGTGCAGAGTCATATTCTTGTGTATTCTATCTTGACTTGTACGTATAGTGAAAATTATTTCAATAAACTAATGAGATGCACCTAAGTAACTCATACATACGTTTATTTGGTTGTGGGGGTGGGGAGAGCTATTTAATGTTTAAGTTCTTTTTTTTTTTTTAGTATATATTTTTGAGACTGTGGTTTTTGTTTGTGTTTTTTTGAGACTTTTTTTGGGACTATGTTTGAGGGAAGTGGGTTTTTTTACACCTAAGTAACTCATACATACGTTTATTTGGTTGTGGGGGTGGGGAGAGCTATTTAATGTTTAAGTTCTTTTTTTTTTTTAGTATATATTTTTGAGACTGTGGTTTTTGTGTGTGTTTTTTTGAGACTTTTTTTGAGACTATGTTTGAGTGAAGTGGGTTTTTTTTGTGGTCCAGTAGATAAGTCGCCAATAAATGTTGGTATTTCTTCAGTATTTTTAAAAGATAAAAAATAAATCAAAGCACTAAAGTGGATCCCGCGCCCTGTGCACTCTTAGAAGTATTAAGTATGATTATGATTTAAATGTAATTTTATTTTCTGAATGTTGGAATAGTCTTAATCAGGTAATCAATGCTTAATTTTACTATGCAAATGTCTTTAGGGCGTGGTGTCTGGTCTCAAAGGAGAAGAAATAACCAGGCTTTGTCAATGAACTGCCATTGTTTTGAGTTCACAACACTTAGAAAAATGTTTTCAATTTAGATTTCCTCATTGCATAAGAAGAATTTTCCCCCCCTTAATGCTGAATCAGACTTGAAGGTTAACGGAGGATAATCATAAAATACGTAACGACAAGCATTTTTGGTAGTAAATATTTGTACCGTAAAATATTATTTTTTTTCCAAAGATTACTGAAAAAATGAAATCAAAAGGGAGACAAAGTTGTAATACTTTTACTTAATTTTCCATATATGTGTTTCCTTTCTCCAGTTATAGTCATCTTACCATATTGACTTATCTTAGTATGTAAGCTCCTGTATGACCAGTAATTTGTTTAGTGCTATGGTCAGAATTTCTCTGCAAATCCAAATGTATAGTGGAATAATGCCTTAACGTAGCCATAACTTTATCCCTAGGTTGTGACAATATGACCTGTTCAGAATGACTTGGGGCACATCTTATTTTTAACACACAACAGCTTTGTCTTTTCATGCTCCTTCTGCTATGGTCATTTCTTCTCCTGGTATTCAGTTCTTGTTTTGCAACTAACTTCATTCATAATATCCTCATACAACACCATTAAGACATTAGTTTGTCTTTGGCCCAGCATCTGAAAATTTCCATGTAAGCCTCACCATCTAAATGTAAAAATGTATTATTTAAGTAGGCTGTTACATTCATTGATTCAATTTTTATTTGCATTTAAATTTAATGAATGCACCAGTCAAAGAGAGCTTCATATTTCAATTTATAGAAATCTGGTAAAAAATTATAAAATCAAATTAGTCGTCCCAGGATGTTTGGCTGATTCTAAGACTTGATATCTTAAAAACTTCATATGTGACCTTTGGGGGAGTAAATGCTGAGAAACATTTCACTAATAATAGGGTCTATATTTAGCTGTGAACCTCGCCAAATCATCTTAATTTTCATCACTCCACAAGACATTTACTCAATGCACTGGTCTATTATGATGTTTGGTCACATATTTTGTATCATGTAAACCATCATTCCAATGGCATATTTCAGTTCTTATAAAAAGACATCCAATTTTGGTAGCGATTCAAATTTGGTAACTCTACATGTCATTTAAAATTACAAATTGATGTTATTATTGATAGCCTTTTGATCATTCATTCATTTCGGTTATGTTAGTTTTCCATCATTTTCTTATAAGCCAACCTGTAAAATGTTCATTTCACAAAATCGTTTAAAAGTAGCTGATTTAACGTGGTATAACCTCACCCAAAAGAAGTCATTTCACTCTCAATAGTCACATAACTTTTTTTTTTGTTGAAGAAACACTATTTATTGAAAAATGTTGCAGATCAACTTCGGATTAATTGAACTCTGCAGACATGTTAATATTTAGTCATAATTTATATATAGATTTGAATGTCTTAGCAGCAAATAAGGGCCAAGGGATTTGTTAAAAATTCATTGATAATAACTGGTTATAGTGTAATATAGGATTGGCTCATGCATCTGATTGTGCTTTTTTAAAATAATGAAAATATAGTAATGCATTAATTAACGTTCCATTTATTTTTAGCGCCAATTAAAATGTTCTATTTTTTTTTTTGGAAGGAAGATCTTAATTTGCAGTTATTAATTATATCATTCCTTTTCTTATTATTTATTTAAGTTTGACATTCTTTGGGAATTGGTAGTTTTTGTAATATTGACTCGCTGAGCAATGTCAAACCAGATTTTGACTGCTGATCAGCATCTCTGGCTGACCACCCAAGTTATTTCTTTTGACTAGTCATGTTTTGTCCCATGGTAAAATTTGTATCATACAGTTTTAGACTCTTGCAAATAGCTAATATCTTTGTTTCCTCTTGTTAATTGTTAGACATGTTTAGCACAATACTGTTCATTCTCTCAAAAGTTAAACTCCACAGAAAACATTTTCTGCTCAATGTATTATTTTTAATGTGCTTGATGAGGTATAAAAACAATTTTTTTTAAAACTTCCTTGGCAAATTTTTCAAGTTTTAAGAGTGAGCTGCAGCAGCTTATCCTTAATTATTGAGATCTTTATCAAAGCCTTAGCCCTAATCTTATTAGTTTTGATACATCAATGATGAACAGACCTGCATTTTTACCACTTGCAATAATAGAAATGTTTTTAACTTGGTAAATCAATATGGACATTTAATTTTTTCTTCCCTTTTCCAAATACTTTATCATGGCAGTATTTTTTCAAATTAAAAAGTTGGAATTTAATTTGTGCCTTTAAATTTTTTTTTTTATTTTTAATTTCTTCACCTGTTTATCTTAAATGGTAGATCATCAGTATTTTTAATAAACTAAAATATTTCATTTCATAAGTACTCCATCAATCCTCTTACATAATTTGATTTTTAGTTACATTTCATTATCTCCATTTCCTTTTGTTAAATAGAACGCAGATGGCAGTACTTTTTGAGTAATTATTGTTCTAAAGCCATGCACCTGTTATAAAACAATAAAATAAAATGTGACTAATACTAATATTGTTTTTAAGTTAATGCTATAATGGAATCATGTGGTGGAGCGGGTCAGGGTCCTACATGGGCTGTAGCGCCACTGATGATATCTTTTCCATTCCTTATTAATAGACAGAACTTATTTCATATGTAAATTAAATGATTTGGCATTACTTTAGTATTTTAGGTCGGGTTATCTCTTTCATTTGTGTTTTCACAACTACTAAATATTTAGTATCATTGTATGTGGCTTAAGAATGTTTTACAATATCATCAGGGTTTTCTTGCAGTCACTATTTATTTGTTGTTGCTTATATACAAATATTTATGGTTTATAGGGGGGGGGGGGGGGGGGGGGGGGGGGGAGGACAACATTTTTAACAATAATTTTTAAATATTACCATAGGTGAAATGATTAGTTCAGTTTAACAGAATTAAATAATTAATTTCCTAATCATCATACTAATTAAGCTTAAAACCTTGGGGGTTTACTTAAAAAATTAAGAGCCAGCGTGTGTCCTTGAGGAAACATTCGTAAAACTAAATGGAATTAGTTGTTTTTCATGGGCAGAAAATTTCCAAATGTCGGTTGGTTTGTTTATTTAAACTTTTTTTTTAAAAACAGGTTCTGTTCCCGTCAGTTAATGTTTAGAAATACAAACGTGATTGGTTTAAATTGATGTGTATTGTGGTCAGTGGGCCTCAGACAGGGAAATTATTATTTTTTTTAAATTTCTTTGAAAAACTGGGCCATATCTCTCTGCAATATTTTGTTATATTAAAATTTGTAAATCTGTGATGAACATTTTATGGAATGCTTATTGATTTTGTTTTCTCCTGGTTGTTAAATGTAATTATTTGATGTAGCTATCAAGACGAGCTGTTTAAAATATTTGAAATAATTCATACCCTCCTGATTCAGAAATTCCTTTTTTTTTAAAATGGTAATAGGTATTTAATCAAATAAAAACTTAAAATTAAAGATTTAATTCATTGTAACACAATAATCAATATATAAATGT